TAATTTATGAAAACTTCATTAATTTTTTCATTTTTGTGCATATAATTGTCACTACTAAATATTTTTTTTCTTACCTCAATTTGTCTCATCTCTCTCAAATACTTATATTAGAAGGTTTTAAATCAAAAATAAAAGATATAATTTTTTTGATACATTAAACGATGAATTATACAATAAAAGATAGTTCTCCTCTTCCCAAACCCCTCCACATCTACCGCATGATCTGAACTTAAGATTTCTACCATAAAGATTCAAGCTCTTAATCATTGAGCAACATTATTAGACAAAACATATTAGCAACATTATTCTCTTGATACTCTTTCACTTGCCTATACTCCACTGTTCATTAATGTTTTTTTCAATGTCATCTCTTAACTTATCCTCACATATTTTATTATTATATTTATCTATTTACCTATATTTGCCCTTACTTTCCCTCTCTATAAATAAATAATTTGTTTGCAATCACTATATTATACTTTTTTAATCACTCCCTGTACATCAATGGATGATTATATATCTTGTTTTATTCCAATTCTCTCTCTCTTTCTCTGTTAGATACGTTTTAAGTCAAAGTATAAAGGCATAACTTTTTATCATTTTCCATTGGTACTTTTTTACATATGTACTTATTTACATATGTACCATTACTCCACCTTCATTAATTTTTCTTGTGATATCATCTCTTAACTTACCCTCTCATATTTTCCTACTATATCTTTTTTGTGCAAAAGAATTTCATTAAAATAAGTAATTAAGTTTTATAAAAGATGGTCTAATACACAGAATAACCATTTCGATTGTGGTTAAAAAGAGAAATACAAAAGGGAGGCACAATGGCAAAAGTCACAAAAGTTTCCTCACGAGAGTGCAAGTTTGGCAAGTGTATCAATAACTTCATTAGCTTCGCGATAAGTATGCTTGATGAGGACAGCATCAAACCTCTGGATCAATAATTTACAGGCAGCAACTAGTGATTTGTGAGAACAATTGGCTGCAAAAATATCGTTAAGAGTGTTGACAATAAGCTAGAGTAGAGTCAGATTTACTTTCAATTCTTTGCAAGTTTAAGCTAAGAGCCAATTCAAGCCCAGCCTCAATCCCCCGTAATTCAGCATTGTTGTTAGTTCCATGGCCAAGACTTCTGGCAAAACCAGAGACCCAGTTGCCTTCATAGTCCATAATGACTCCACCAGCCCCAGCACAGCCCCAGCATTAGTTGCAGTAGAAGAGCCATCAGTGTAGATTTTAAACCAGCCTCTCCTCGGGGGTGACCATCCAACCGGTTTAAAGGAATAGGTGACATATTTATGAATCTTGGACGATGACGAACAGAATTCAGCAGCAAATCCAAGAGCTTCTTGGAACACAATTTGCAATTGGAATGTGTTATTAAGACATAATTGATTTTTATCCACCCAGATATTCTATAGGATGGAACAAAATAAAGTTGGCCAGGAAATTTGTGGTCATGAAAGCCATCTTTGTGAAGTGTCGTTAATGAGCAGCCAGTAATAGAGATTGTCACGCCCCAACATCATGACATAACAATGCCACATATCTTTAGGAGTGACCCCAAAAGGATGTAAAGCTAAGTTTGTCTCCAAAATTCAATCATGCAGCCTTACATAAAATTATTCTTTACTTTGAAAAAAATTATCAACATTAATCCATCATCTAAAACCAACTTTAAGCCAAGATCCCAGGTCTAACTAGCACTAAAATAAAATCTCTTTGTTTCAAATATCCATGATTTGCTAAACATAAAAGGAAAGAAGTAAATACAACTAATTCTAAGGCGGCGCTTTATTTCCCATGCATCCCCAATGCTTCATGATTAGTATATGAAAAACATTAAATAAAACAATGTGAACTCCACATGCCCAGTAAGTAGCATGCGCAACTAGTAAGATCAAGCATGAATATCTTTATTAAAAAGTGATAATAAATAAATAATAAAATTAAGAAATTCATCAACAAAACAACTTCTCAATACCTCATGGCTATAACACAAGAATATCAACTAGATGGTAACCCAACATGGTTTGCCATTCAATAGTCTAATATGATGAACAAAATAAATCATTTGATAGTGTAGTATGATTTATGGTTCGATAATTTATTACAGTACAATAATCTAAAATAAATCCTAAGTCAAATAGTTGTTGTTCAGCCACAGCTAAAATATGCGTTTAGTCCCTTACCTTAATAAATTTAAAGATTTTAATCCTTCACCTTACACTATAAAGTTTATCCCCTAAACTAACGTACGGAATCCATTAACTCTTTGATAAAGTGAGAGTAAAATATTTATAAAACTAGTCCTCAAATATTAAAAATATAATAATTTAGTTCCAAAAGTTTAAAATTAAAATAATTAGTAAATTAAAAGTAATTAGTGAATGTCTTTATGTAATACCCCAAAATTTCCTAAAACATTAAAGTGTGAGTTAGGGACCTAATTGTGAAGAAATATTATTAATGAACTTAATAGCAAAATTTTCAAAGTTTAGGGACTTAAAAGAAAACAAATTAGGATAAGGATCAAGCTTAGATAGTTTTTCTTTGGTTAAAACCCCTTTTTGGTCCCTGAACTATTGTACGGACCCCCGATTTGGTCCCTGAACTAAAAAAATCCCTGATTTGATCCCTACTGTTTACCATTTTTACCCCAATTTGGTCCTTCCGTTAAAAATTGTGTGACGTGGCATGTCACTTAACAGTTACCAGATGACATGTCATATAATAATATAAAAAGTGATGATGTGGAAAAAAAAGTGATGATGTGGACCAACCCACGTCGAACCCAGGCGGTTGGGTTTCTTCTCGAACCCAGGCGCCTGGGTTTCGTTTGCACCCAGGCGCTGGGTCTCTTCTTGAATCCGGGCATTGGGTTCCTTCGAGAACCCAAGAGCTGGGTTCGTTCGAATCCAGGGGCAAAAAAATTTCTGTTTTTTTTTTTCTTTGTGGGTTTGGTTGTTTGATTAAGATGAAGAATTGTTGGGTTCGATATTGAATTGATTGTGTGAATGAAGGATATTGAATTGATTATTTGATTGAATTGATTGTGTGAATGAAGGAAGTTTCGAGAAAGAAGATGATGGAGGAAAAAGATGATGCAAAATTGTAATTTGGTGGGCCCCACTTGTTTTTGCGTTGGGTATAATTATGTCATCATTTATCCACGTGTACAACTGACGTGGCTTAAATTTTTGATATATCTGTGAGGTAACGGACGATTTTTAACGGAAAGACCAAATCGGGGTAAAAATGGTAAACAGTAGGGACCAAATCAGGGATTTTTTTAGTTCAGGGACCAAATATGGGGTCCGTACAATAGTTCAGGGACCAAAAAGGGGTTTTAACCTTTTTCTTTTCTTCCTCATCGCACGCGTGTCTGCTCTGTTCTTCTTCCCGACTCTTCCTCCCGACAAGGCCCCCCCAAGCCACCGACTCTCTCCCCCCTTGAAAACCCGGTGAGATCTTGATGAAATTCCTTCCTTTTCTGGTTCAATCACAAGATTTAGGACCTAGAAATCCCTCCTAAACCCAGAAATTTCCAGATCTACGCTGTCTTCTTCCCCTCTGTCCACCGGCCTTTGCTGTGTGATGTTGAGTTCGGTTTTTGGTAAGAAATAGCCAAGAATTCGTCCTTCTAGCCTTGATTTAAGTTGGGTTATTCTAATTTCTTTTTATTTCCCTCAATTTTGAGGTAGGCCCGCGAGCTTCCTCCCATTTGCCGTCGGCCTCCATACCCAGCAGGTCCGGTTCTGGTAGCTGGAATTCTGGTATGTTGACAGCCTCATTAAGTTTGAAATTACCCATTTAATTGTTGGGTTTTGTCCATTTAATTGATGCTCTGTGTTGTCCGAAATCTGCTGAAAAATGGGGATGAACTCCGGTAGCAATTAAAGCATAATTAAGCTTAATTAAGGTAGAAATGGCTTGATTTAGCTGATGTGAGGTTTTGTATGAAAAATTCCATGAATTAGCTATGCTTTGCAAAGTCCAGTTCCTCCATGTGCTGCCCGTGAGATTGGGAAATATTGCAGCAGCCTTAAACCTTGTTTTAGGCTTGGGTTAAGTATAAATTGCTTGATTTGGCTGCTGTGAATTTTCTGGAGGAAATCCCGTGTCTTAGGTATTGTTTTGCAAAAGACAATTGATTGAATACAAGTCCTGTTCCTCCATTTTTCTGTCTGTAGAAGTAGAAATCCAATTTGGGTTTTCCTGGTTGATGGATAAATGTAATTTAGGAGCTTTTGAGTGAAATTTTGGATTGATCTGTTGATTTGACTCTCGAGTTTAAAAAGGGGTTTGTGACCATTTTGCTCATAAGTTACATTCACTGTTCACGCGCACTGTTCACTAGCACTGTTCACGCGTTGAATTTTAATTAATTGGAGTAGAAAATCTCATGGAATACGTTAGTTATGGCATTGGATTAATTTTGGTCCAGTAGTGATGTATTATTGATTGGGGTTTTGTTTGGTTGTTGAGAACGTGTGATGGGAAAATGAAAAGGGAAATGGTTATTAATTCTTGAATATTTTGATTAGGTTCCTGATCGTTTTGTCAGTTAGCACTGAGATCAAGTTTTCGGTTTTATGCTAATGAGGTAAGTAAATTTATGGTAATGGCCATACAGTTTTTAAAAGCATGTTTTGACTTGTTTTGAAGTGGTGGCGGGACTAAACCCATTTTATACAAAAGTAAGTATGACTGATTTGAAGTGAAATTTTTATGCTTTTCATTAAATTGAGCATGCCTACTTGAAATTTAATTGATTGTCCTGATGATCTGAAAGTGATTGGTGAATTATGGTTTTTCTATTAATTTTTGCTTGTTTTGTCTTCGATGTGGTCATGTTATTAGTGACCCTGCTAGTGGGGGAGGTTATAAACGCTAGCACATGTCGACATGTTATTGATAGAACCGGTTGGTTCGAGTGACCCTGCTAGTGGGAGGTTTATAACACTGGCCGTGACCTATAGAGGAGACGTCTATTTCATTCCCGTACTGTATCTGTTTTTCGTGATTACATTTGTTGGCATGCTATAAGTTTAATAAGGGGCACTCCATATTTTACTTACTGCGTTTATCTCATAGTTTTTCCTTGTCCACCATTTCAAGAAGTGAAACCGAGGACGGGGAAACCACGGGAAGTGACGAGTTAGAAGACTAGTCATTTCAAGATTGATATAGATTTTAGAAATAAATCATGCTTTTGTAAGATAGATTTTACCTTGAATTTATGAGATTAAAACAGATTTTGGTCATTAGATCACTTACTTGGATTTAAGTCATTTTGGATAGAAATAAATTGAGATATTTGATTTAAGTTATTGGATTATCATATGTGAATTAGATAAGTTTTGAGTCTTGTGCATTTGTGAGACCCTCTCATAAGTGTACGGCGTCCGTTACGTCTTCGGATTTAGGTTCTGGAGCGTGACACTTTACCACATACACGAGAATAGTATTAAATACCTACAATTAAATCAAGCATTTAGCCTAATTTGAAGAAAGAATTCTAATTGAGATTAAAAAAAATTTCTTAGTTAAGTTGAAATAAAAAACCAAAAAGGTTAGAAACATATAGCCAAAAAAATTTTTTTAACCTTAATTAGATTTCTTTTTTTAGATTGAACTAATCACTTGATTTGGTTATGAAAATTTAATACTATTCTCGTATATGCGGTAAAGATATCTACTAATTATTTTTAATTTACTAATTTTTAAAAATTTTAAACTTTTGGAACTAAATTGTTATATTTTTAATCTTTAAAAACTAATCATGTAAATATTTTATTCTCATTTTAACAAAGAGTTAGCAAATTCTACTAATTTAGGGGTTAAAATTTTAAACCTTTAAGTTCAGAAACTAAAAACTTTATAATGTAAGATGAAAGGCTAAAATCCTCATACTTATTAAGGTGAGGGGCTAAATGCACATTTTAACCATTCAGCCACCCCAGGCAAAACAAGTTACCTTAATATTAAATCAATTTCCAATTCCAAAGCCTTCATATCACAAAATTGTCATATTTCCTCATCTCAAACATTTTACAACCAGCATGCTTGATTCACATTTGTTTTAAAAATAAATGCTTTTTAAAAGAAATACCATAAAAAATAATTAAAAATATTTTACATTTTTAAATAGATTTATTTTAAAATTACAGTGAAAGAATTATTTATTTTTCAAACATTTCTAGAAAGGGTAATGCCACCTAAGTTATTCAGCAAGCATCAGCCAAATGCAATGCCAAAAATTACTCAAATCCTAATACAACAAACATATTCTAGTCAACATTTAAAGTTGATCTATATTTTACTCGGACAATTAAATGACAAGTTAACAAAAATTAATTCTTATTAACCAAATAAAAAATTCCATTCAAGAATAAGAAGTTAAACTCAGACAGGCATTTTATCAAATTACTCAACCAAAGTCAATATCAAAATATATAACTAAAACTGGCAATAAGCTTTGCAAGCCTTCTTGTCGTATAGCATAGAAATGGGCAAGAAGTCTTCCCTTTTTTTTTTCTTTTTTTCTTTTTTTATGAATAAAAAATTTGTATTAAAGAGTACGAAGGGCACTCACCCATGCATTACAAAAGGAGAGCAACCATGAAAATTAAGATCCCTCTACACAAAGAGCTGGAAATTGACATCAATCTCCAAAGCACAACATAGCAGAGGTAGAATTCCCTTTAATCCAACCAAAAGTTTTTTTATTGAACTAAATCTACCAAATTATTCTCGTCCCATTACCATTTCTAAAAAGCCAAATGGACCATGATGTTGTTAAAATCAAATAGCTTTAACAATCTAACTATTTAACTAATCAATACTTGACTTATATATAATATATCCAGTCAGAGGTAGAATCTTCCCCTAAAAACCATTGTTCAATTCAACTAGATTCCACACACCCAATGCCTCTAAATAATTATCAACATAAATCCAACAATCCTTTGACCTTTTGCCACCCACCAAGCATCCTTTCCTCTTTTACCATTCTCAATATAATAAAATACGCATTTAATCCCACACATCAGCCACGAAAACTTCCAGCCATTAGATGAATTAATCTAATTCCAACAAAGATCAAACTCCCACTTGTATTACTCACCACAAAAGAAATGGGCCGCTACCATAGAGATCAATATACCCATGCTAAATTTGCAAGCCAAGATCATGAATCTAAATTAGGCAAGTTGATTTCCATTACTTTAACAACAAAACTCAAGGCCCTCTTCAACACTACCATCTATACCCAAAATCTATTTTCAAAATTTCTAGATGATTTTTGAATTAATTTAAGAAATCACTGTAAAACTAAGAAAATTGCCTTGAAATATTTCGGCAACTATGTTCACCTAATTTGTGCAGTCTCCTAACTGCTCCTGAGTTAGGAAACCAATGTGAGGGAGACGCTCTACAGAGTAGGCAATGTTATTCTTAGGTTTCTAGGTTAAATTTATACATTTTACAAACGACTTCTCCAACCTAACAATCATTAAACACATAAATCCTCATATTTCCACCTTATTGAATACACATCCTTAAAGGATTAAATTGAATCAAATTAAAAATTATGCTTCTTACCGAGATTATAATGAAGATTGTTTTTACTATATTTATCACTATATATTATATCTGCCCATGCATTTCCTTTCTATATTAATAAATTACTTGTTATTATTCTCTCTCCTTGTTCTCCCCTTTCTACTTATCTTCCTTAGCCACCCTTTGCATCTCTATCTATCATTATATATCTTTTTACCTAATTCTCTTTCTATCTGTCTTTTCTAATGATTACAATAACATATAAATATATTAAAATCA